ATTGCACGCCAGAGGGTGTCTTTGGAAGATTCCCCACCCCCGGGGAGGGGCTTGCCCCTCCCAGAACAACAAAAAAAAAAAAAAAAAAAAAAAAAAAAAAAAAGTAAACTCTCGTGGCCGCCGAGCGGGAAGGATGTGTTCTGTGCAGCTCTGTCTTGTGTGGCTTCTTTTGGATTGTCTGAGGCTCCTAAGAACGGGAAAATAGTAATACTAGTGCTTAAAGTATTGCTTATTATCAGTTTTGGTGAAATTTTATGATTTATTACTGTTTTTTGATTGACTATCTTATTACGGATATCTTGCTAGGCAAAGTGAGGTTATGAGACCTTGTGCCTTATGAACTCAATGACTATTATTCTCTTTATGACGGTTTTCTTTTATAATAATAATTTATTAGAGTTAATTGTGTCTGGTTTCATGTCCTTTTTGTTGCATATATGTGCATTAATTGACATATAATGCGATAATAGACTGCACAAGGATAACTCCAGCGCATGCGCATATACGCCCGAGTTTAGGCAGATGGAATGTAAATTGGATATAGTTATTATTAAATATCTACCGAGAATTAATAGGAAAAGGATGTATATGAAGGTTCATGGGACGCCATAGACGCCCATCTAGTGAGTTGGTGAACTTTGGTTGTCTTTGGGAGGTAAAGTATGGTGTACTGTGCTTAACCCTTTCATGCCAGCTGCTTGTTATACATATTAAAGTTAAATTAATTAACAATTGGAGTGAGCTCTTGGAAGTGAATTGGCTTCTGTCAGTGATAAAAGAACTGGAGATGTTATTTTGCATCATACTTATATCCATGAGTGATTTATAAATTGTTTGTTATCTTTAAATGAATCTTTATTGACAATGATTATTCAAGTTAGATTATCACTATTACTACTATGAATGATTATTGATCTGTTAATGATTTTGATATATGAGCTGTTTGTAGACTTATTACTTTTAGATTTAATGTTATATATATATAGATGTGAGGTTATGTACATCTAAGGTGCATCTGATAAAGTTTGATTATTATTTTTGATATCTTTCTATTATCAGTATATTACTGCATAGTCTAGTGACTTTTAGTGCAACGGTCACTGGAGTTGCCTATCTATGCAGCTGCATTTTATGACATATTGATTTATTGACAGCTATGAGTGCATTATTTTTGTGGCGAGATCTGATTATCTGGAGTTTAATTAAGTTAGACTCTACTTTTTCTCAGTGAGTCGAAATGAATGAGTTGAGTGGTGCAGTTGTAAATCCTGCTTGGAATATCTATGTGCAGTATTAAAAGTTGCATATGGTTATATGAGTTTGACACATGTAAGGTGTATATATATTAGACGATTGTTAATGTTCCTCGTATGAGGCAATGAATGGATTATTTATCATTTAATTGATTTGATGACTTTGAACACTATTGTTTATGTTTTGTATGCAGATACTGATTATTATATTTTGCAGATTGGCTGTTATATAATTATATGGTGTTGAGACTGTACTCGTAAGGATTAATTGATGACAAATGGTACCATATGGATTGCTTGTTGTATGAGATACTGGATTTGATCATCGTTGGAATATATGCGTAGTGTCTGTGTGACACATATATATAGTATGATAAATGTTCTTGTTAATGTGCTGATTTGTTATATAAGGTGAATTAAGAACTGTTATGACTTTGATAGTTTTAGACATTTTTAATTAAATTTTTAATTAAATTCTATATTATAAGAAGAATATATATAAGGATTGAATAATTGATAAGGAACAAAATCAATATACTAGATCAGATATGAGCAATATACTGATTTAAATTCTGAATTTTGAAGTTAGATCTGAAATAACTAATTATTGGATTTGTCAGGAAGTTCTTTCACACTAATTGTATTAAGTGTGGTATTTGAATTGGAAGTATTATTGATTGTTATTGGAGGAAATCATGACAGTGATTGATAGTGATATGGATTTCGGATATCATGTAGACACGTCAACCAGAAATGAGACTATGATACTATGATTCTATGTGTAATGAATTTTATTCTGGATGAATGATAAATGTACGCGTGAGAGATAGTATTTAGTTATATGTGATTATACATTACCTTAATATAATGAACTCTTAAAATAGGAATACATAAATAATTAGACTATATTTAAATATAAGAAATACGCGTTAATAAGATTAGTGTGGATGGTTTAGATTAGTTTTATCTATACTTAATCTATACTTACTATATATGGAAAAGTTGAATCAGAATGAGATTAGGATGATGTTCTTCTTGTTTTTGATGAAAATGAATGTTTTTTATATTGGTTAATCATTACTTAAAATGGTGAATTCTGAAATAGTAATAAATAATTAATTAGGAATATATTAAGTAAACGGATAAGCGTTATTTAGTCATAATTAGATGAATCAATTTAGCTTAAGTTGTTTACTACACTCACCCGAAAAAAAAGCGGTACACTGAAAATGTGGGAAAAATTCATCAAATTTCAACTGACGATAACTTCGTAAATAATAAAGATAGAAAGTTCTATAAAATATGGAAATGAAGCTAAAAATCTCTACTTTAAGAATCAATTTATTTCAATGTTGCAAAATAAATTTATTGAAAATGGCGGATGACAAAGCGCGAGCATGCAAAATTGAAAAATAATGGTTCGAGTTTGCGACGGTGCACGGTATAAACAAAAAATTGTAGCTTATTGGGATCAAAAGCGTACGAAAGTACAGAGTCTCCTCTTTAAAATGCTTTTTTATGCATCTCGATACGATGATTTTTCGCCGAGAGATTCGCATTTGAAGAAAAAGGCAGATTCTTACTTCAAATGCGAATCTCTCGGCGAAAAATCATCGTATCAAGATGCATAAAAAAGCATTTTAAAGAGGAGACTCTGTACTTTCGTACGCTTTTGATCCCAATAAGCTACAATTTTTTGTTTATACCGTGCACCGTCGCAAACTCGAACCATTATTTTTCAATTTCGCATGCTTTTGCTTTGTCATCCGCCATTTTGGAGAAAGTTATCACACATTATTGCGTTATGAATTTTCGAACACTAGACATCCAAACTTTTAAAATGGTTTTTAAAAAATCCTGCTAGCTGTATTACGTGCCGAGATATTCAATTTTGAACCAGACCGAATTGCAAGAATAAGAATTCTGTGGTTATCAGCTCCGCGGTATTTTAAAACTCCAAACTCTCCTTACGGTTATAAGGGTCAATTCTGCTCTTGGCGTTACCCAGGATCAACGGCGTGGACGTGGCAGAAATCTGATCCCGTGTGCACATGTTGGCACGTGTGTATGTGTGTGTGTGTGTGTGTGGCGTAGACTGGATTACTTCGTTTTCTTAATGAAAAGTGATACTGCTTTATAAATGAAAGTGACTGTATATACTGCTTTGCGATTCTATTAAGACAAATAGAGTGAGACAACTTTCGACTGCAGTATTTAATTTAATTTAATATTATCAAGGTCTCACCAAGAGAAGGATACTCTTGTTAATAAAACCAAGCATACAAAATGGAAATGAGTAAGGAAATGGATATAAACGTCTCGGCGTCGGATACCGAGAAACGACACGTGGGGGGTATTGTCCCTGTCCCCCACGGGTCGGCATCATGCGAAGGGCTGGCCTCCACGTCTGCGGCGAGCGTGGAGAACCGAGTGGCTATCGCTAGCATCGAAAGGCTAGACACTGCCATTACGATATTGCCTAGAAGAAACTCTAGTCCGGGCTCCGTGAGGGGTGTGCGTATTCCGGTGGCCGATGAGGTTGAGATGTCTCGTGCTTCTGCGAGTCCTCCTCTATCGACTACCATGTTTTGTACGGCTGATTATTCGGATTCTGAGGAAATTATTTCCTGTGATTCCAATACATCTAAAACAAAGACTAACTTTAGTAAGGTGCAACACACAGGTGGAAGGAAGAGAAAAAAGAAGGGTTCACCTCCGAGTGAAGAAAATGAGGAAGAGAGATATGGCTCTCGATTCTCGGTGAATAGTAAGAAAAAGGTTGATGAAGAAATGGCCGGTCTGGAACTGGATCATGCGGCAAATATTAACTATAAAATAAAGGATATGGTAAACGAAATTGAGAATATTAGAAGAAAATCCACCAATATTAAAGGATCTTTTAGTGGTCAAATGAAGGTTTATCTGGAGGTTATACGAAGAGCCAGTACCTTGTTATCAATAAAGGCGTCGTCAAAGGAAGATCCAGAGTACTGGAAGTCACGATTTTATGAGTTGGAGAAAACTTCACTAGAAAATAAATGCAAGGCTGACTCCTTAGAAGTAGAACTTCAGGAAGTTAAAAGGAGGGAGCGCATTAAGGCTGAGTATGATAATGATGGAAGGGATTCACCTGTAATGCTTGATGATGCTGGTGTGAGGAACGTGGATCAGTTGGTGTCGGCTTCTGCTTCTCCTGGTGGGCATAGAGACTTAAGAAATAAAAAAACTCTTGGTGAAACTCCAATTAGTGTAAAGTTACCTGATGAGTGTGGGGGTGGAGTGACTGGTGATTTTCAGAGCAGAGTGGGTCTGGATCTCGCCATCATTAATACCCTGGACAGATTGGGAGATGGGATGAACCGGATGATCTATGAGATGAGGCAGATGAAGGAGGCGTTCTTTGGATCAGCTGTCCGGGAATCTGCTGTCGCCTTGGGGGATCGTCCTGCTTCGTCTTCGCTGCAAAAAAATAAAAGAATTAATAAGGTCAGTAATAGCGATAAGGTTTCTTGGAAGGAAGGCACCTTTCTAAAACCTACGGACCGCCAGGTTTCTAATGACCCGAGTGGTAAAAAGAACATTAAGAAAAAGAAAAATAAAAATAAAAATAAAGTCACAAAAACATTAAATTCGGAACGTAGTGAGGATACTCTATCCTCACAAGACAACGAAGTTAATAATGAAGTTAAAAATAATAAAAGAAGGAAGTTAAATGAAACCACGAATAATATTTGCGGTGAAGACTCAGAATCGATTGACTTTCTTAACAAGGTTATTGACTTTAGTGAAAATGAATTTATACAAACTCTGACGGAACAGAATGAAAACGCGTGGACGACGGTACGTAGGAATAGGAGAGGTGCGGATAGAGTTTCTGGAAGGGGTTCAACTCCTCTTAAAAGTCTGCCTTCTGCGGATGATACGGGATCTAAATCTGAAAAAATAAGAAAGAATCGTAAGAGTGGTAATTTAAATATAGAACTATTATCTAACCTTAAGAAGAAAATTCCTGATACGGCTGCCGTATCCATACTGCTGGATGAGTGCGAACTTACTTATTCGGATGTATTGAGCCGAGCGCGAGAAAAGATTTCTCTGGCAGAAATGAACATTGCAGGTACAAGAATTAAGCGATCTGCGAACGGAGGTGTTCTCATCGAGATACCGGGAGCAGATGCGGACCTGAAAGCAGACTTATTATATAAAAAGTTAAGGGAATTATTTTTCAATGTGAGAGGCGTTAGTTTACGTAGGCCTGTCAAAAGGTCGCAGCTCCGGCTGTCAGGTATCGATGACTCTGTCACAATAGGTGAGGTTAAGGAGGCTATATCGAAGATAGGCTCGTGCGATGTTGTTAACATTACCTGTAGTGCTCTCCGACATATGCGTGGGGGCCTTGGAGTAATTTTTCTTCAGTGTCCGATCGCGGCTGCTGTCAGAGTTCTGGAAAAAGGAAAGATATCCATTGGTTGGTCAACTATTGGAGTTGAGGCCTTGAAATCAAGGCCTATGCAATGCTTCCGGTGCCTTGCTGTTGGCCATACGATACAGAGATGTCCCAGCGTTGTGGTGAGAAGATTTGACTGCTACAAATGCGGCCAGGTAGACCACAAAGCGCAGGTTTGTAAAAACAAAATTGTGTGTCCTGTGTGTTTGGAAAGAGGCCTTAATGCGGACCATATGGTTGGTAGCGCAGTGTGTAAACCAGTGCCTCCTAAAAGAATTGACACTTTAAGTTCTGTAAATAAAGATAATGCTGGAAATTTTACTCACCTTCCCTCTACTAGTAAGGATTCTGAGGTTCGGAGGCCTCGGAGCTCGTCGAAGTCTCCTGTGGAGACGATGGATTGCGGTGAATTTGTTCCGTAATGTTAATATTACAGTGTAATGTCAATTTATCACGACAGGCACAAGATAATCTGGGTCACTTGCTGGAAGAAAGGAATGCTGGACTCGCTGTTGTGAGTGAGCCGAATTCTGTGCCCGAAGATGACAGGTGGGTGAAGGATGATTCCGTACCTCCTAAGGCCGCCATCTGGTGGCGTAGGAAAGAAAATAGATTTTCTCCGATGATGCGTTTGGAGACAGGTCGCGGGTTTTGCGCTGTCAGATGGAATAATATTGTTCTTGTCAGCTGTTATATATCACCCAACACACCGTTACCTATGTATAATGAATTTTTGGAGAATGTTCAGCTAGTTATTTTGAAGTACAAAAATTCCCCACTTTTGCTGATGGGGGATTTTAATGCACGCCATAATAAGTGGGATAAGAGAGGTAAAAATAAGAAGGGTGTTCTTTTGAATGACTGGCTGGACAGTTTAAATCTAATTGTTGTTAACGATACCTTTGCAACGACTTGTGTTCGGTATCGCGGGGAATCGGTTATTGATTTAGTTATTTGTAATTCTAAAGCAAGAAATTTAATATTGAAATGCATGGTTGAAAAGGATACGGTTACTCTCTCGGACCATAGACTAATTAGTATAGAGATAAAGTCAAAGCTAGCTAGAGAAAAGTCACTAGCCGTTGGCTGCAGTTTTCCTAAGTGGAATTTTAAGAAATTGGATGTAGAATCTTTAAAAATGGCAGCGGTGGGGAAAGCCTGGGACTATAACGAGTTGACCCTGGTTACATCTGAGCGCATCGTTGAATGGGTGAATAAAGCACTTCATGAAATTAGTGACTTGAGCATGCCTAGGAATAGTGGACGTTTTCGCAACTCTGCATATTGGTGGAGTAGCGAACTCGATGCCCTTAGGAGGGCTGTAGTCGGGGCAAGGAGGGTTCTTTCTAGATCTAGGAAAAAAGCGAATGGAGATTCTCTAGTTAGATATAGGGAATATCGTACCACCCTATGGAACTATAGAATTGGCATAAAAAGGGCTAAAGCTAAGGCGTGGGATGAACTCCTTAGAGATCTGAACGAGGATCCATGGGGTCTTCCCTATAAACTAGTATTTAAAAAGCTTAGACCTGCGTCGCATACGGTTAGTGAATCGCTTCCACCTGAGAATGTTATTACAATTGTTCGCGCTTTGTTTCCGGATGGGGGAGACGATATTGAAGAACAGGTCGAATTCCTTCCGGTTTGGAATAATGATATTAATGTTAGAGAGGTAGAGATAAAGGATGCGATTAAGAAATTACGAGGGTGCAAGAAGGCACCGGGACCGGATGGGATTTTGGGGGGTATAATCTCGGGATGCGCCGGAGATTTCATGGAGGTATGGACTTCTTGTTTTAATACATGTCTTAGGGAGGGGAAATTCCCTAAAGCTTGGAAAAAAGCTAGATTGGTCTTGCTTAAGAAAAAGGATGGTCCAATGTTGGATCCTGGTACGTATAGACCTATTTGTCTCTTAGATGAATCATCTAAACTCTTTGAGAGAATTCTTGTTAATAGAATACACGAACACCTGTTATCAACCGGTTGTATGTCTGATAATCAATTTGGTTTTCGTAAGGGGAAGTCTACTATTGATGCGATTAGATTACGCGAAATAGTTTCTGGAGAATTAAATGCGGGAAGGCTGGTTATTGGAGTCAGCTTCGATATTAAGAACGCCTTTAATTCTATACCTTGGCGGGTTATCCGGGACGCCATGACCTCCATGGAATTTCCGGGGTATTTGAGAAGGATAATATCCAGTTATTTGTCGGATAGAAGCCTAACATATATCGACGCGAATGGTGGCACCTGTATTTCGAAGATGTCATGTGGTGTTCCACAGGGTTCGGTCCTGGGACCGACTCTGTGGAATATTGGTTACAACGCAGTACTGAATTTATCTCTGCCTGAGAACTGCTGGGTAATTTGTTATGCGGATGATACTATTTTGTTAGTGTCGGGAGAAGATTATGACGTGGTTCGAGAGAAGACTATGTTTTCCGCCAACATAGTTGTCAGGTCTATAGAGAGTATGAATTTGGAAATATCACCACATAAAACGGAGGCTATGGTTTTTCCGGCCACTGTACTCAGGGGTGGCTCTTCCAAGAGTATTTTTATAAAAGACAGGGACATAAGGATTTCGGGTAACATGAAGTATTTGGGGATATTCTTGGATGGTGATTGGAATTTCTCCTTTCACTTTAAACAGGTGTTTGTTAAGGTGGGAAAGGTTATTGGTACTCTTGGAAGAATCATGCCTAACTGTGGTGGACCGAGCGAGAGGAAAAGGAAGTTGTACCTCAATATGGTGCTCTCGGTTATTCTGTATGGGGCGCCTGTCTGGTATGAATCGTTTAACCAGAATAAAGAGGCTAGGTTATTAATGGAAAGAGTTATGAGGAAAATAACACAGAGGGTTTGTTGCACCTATCGCACGGTCTCCTACACGGCCTCGATGGTTCTGTCCGGTACACTGCCAATCGAATACTCAGCGAGGAGACTGGCGATTATGTTTGAGCGACTTAGAATAGCCAAATCACAAGGGGAAGAATTTTCCCCTAGATCTAGGGAGATTTTTAGTTCGAGGGCTAAACTCGACGCACTTCAGGCCTGGACTGGGGAACTGGAGGCAATGGGTGATAACCAGCCGGGTTTCAGGGTTCGAAAAGCGGTTTGTCCAATTCTAACGGAATGGGTAAATAGGAAATTTGGATGGATTACGTTCCATATGGCACAAATCCTTACCGATCATGGATGTTTGAACAGTTTCCTGTATAAGATAAATAGAGCACCTTCACCCTTGTGCTCCCACTGTCTCCAGGAGGTTGATACTGCCCAGCATACGCTGGAATTTTGTCAGGCCTGGAATGTGGAAAGGGAGGCGTTAATAGCCTTGATCGGCGATCGGTTAGACTTACCCTCTGTGGTTGCTTCCATCTTGGAAGATGATGGGAAATGGAGAGCGTTTTCCAGATTCTGCGGAATAATTATGCGAAAGAAAGAAATAGCTGAGCGTGAAAGACAGGCCCTGGATCGGAGTCAGGCGGTTGGCTTTCTTGATCCTGAGGCATCAGACTAATACGACTTTTAGGATATATATATTTTATGTAAGAAATGTAAATATGAGTTTGAATTGTCAGTATTATTATATCTAGTTAGCTTTAGTTAGTTATATACTATATATTTAGTTAGTTATTCTTATAGAGGTCCCGTTTAAAAAATAAGTAAGGGCCTGAGGGCAAGGTCAGGGAGGAAGTGGAGTCATGCTCTTGAAGTAATCCCACTTCCTTTCTATTCGTGGCTAGAGAGGGGCGAGAGGTGAGTTTTTTAGCTGGTAGGCGGTCGAGATGATCATCCGAGATCCGGAAGCCATGGTCATGGTGTCCGATTCCATCCCGAATCTCGGCTTTTATCCTTCCCGCATGGATGCTGGATTCTGGTTTGGATGTGGATTTGTGGTCCTATGGTTCTTGCGGGGAACATTTCGGATGTGAGTCTCGGTCGAATCCAGCACTACCCTGGGGTACGGGCTCCAGGGTGTCTTTTAGAAGATTTTTCTCATCTCCGTAAACAAAAAAAAAAAAAAAGGTTAGTGCCCACAGGTCGGAGATGTGGGACCCCTGAAAACTCCTGGGTTAAACCAGGGGTGTGTAGGGGGCTGGAGGCCCGTGCACCGGATGTATTTTCCCGGTGCCAGAGCCATATGCCGACTCCCCGGGGGAACTCGGGGGTAACTGGGCATGCCC